AACAAAAAACAGCCTAGTAGAGAAAAAGCTGGAGAGTTCGGCAGGGGCCAGATAACACTGGTTTTGTAGGCCATGTTCAGAATTAGGGTCTTAATTCCAAGGGTAATGGGAAGTCGTGGAAAATTTTAAGCAGGAAGATATACTCCCAAGTGAATTTTTTAAATGCAGACTCCTAGGCTCTAGCCTGAAAGATTCTGGTGGCCTGGGCTGGGCCCTGTAATCTGAATTTTAGAGATCTCAGGGAATCAGACGTGGAGTCAGGTTTGGGAAGCATTGCTATGGAACACTGGTTGTCCATGGGTCTATCCCAAGCAGGTGGCCTGTGAACTGGCCCTTAAAATACCATTTATGGTATGAAAAGGACATACATATTCCTTGCATTGTTCATTTATCTGGACCTATTATGTCTGCTCCTGGATCACAAGCAACGCCAGCATACTTCATTCTGGGGACCGGCTAGCATTTGAAATGGGTGAATGGGCTGGTGCAGCAGACATTGTCAGGGCTTGGCCCATATCTCCTAGCCACACGCTACCCCTTCGGTGCATAGCAGCCGACTCGTACCTACCTCTCACCTGCTCTGCCTTCCCACAGGATTTACTGGGGCTCTGACTGCTCTGCCTGCTGTGCGGCAGGGTATGTGCTGGGGAAATTAACTCATCCTTCCTCCCCTGGAAGCCTAGCTCCGTGACCGAAGAGGAACTCGTGTTTTAAAATAGCTCAGCTCCCTCATCCCTATGGTGGGAAAACCTGAGATGTGTGTTTTACACAGCCTCCCACAGTGCCCCCAGCAGGGCTGTGTTCCCGCTGTCCACAGTGGTAGCTGGTGTGACAATGAAGCTTTTACTGGTGCCCCCAGCAGGGCTGTGTTCCCGCTGTCCACAGTGGTAGCTGGTGTGACAATGAAGCTTTTACTGGTGCCCCCAGCAGGGCTGTGTTCCCTCTGTCCACAGTGGTAGCTGGGGTGAAAATGAAGCTTTTACTGGCTGCCTTTCCTTCCCGGTCTCACCTCTCCACTCCCCTAGTGGCGTTTTCCTCACCTCTCAAGTAAACCACTTGCCATCAAATCTCTGTCTCAAGGTCTGCTTCTGGGGGTGCAACTGTCTCTTGCTGTGCCAAATGCCTTTTTTTAAAATTTAAAAGTAGAGTCTGGCAACCAATTTTTAGCAAGTTATTAAGAAGGATGCAAAGAAAATGTGTTAAAACCTGACTGGGAAATTCCATCTACATGAGCAATGATTATGGAAAAAGAGGAGAGACCATAATCTGACATTATGAGAATCATCTTGTTTGAGTACTCTCTACTCAAAGTTTAACCTAGGAATATTAAAAAAAAATGGGCCAGCCTTACTTTGCTCCTCTGAAATAAATATTGTGAAACAAATAAGCAACCTATTCCTCTTGCAACAGCACTAATAAAAACTAACATTTATCGAGGGCTTATTGCTTATCAGTCACTGTTCTCAGAGCTTTGCACAGCTCACGATTTCATTCTTAAGTCCAGGTGAAAGAATCAGTGATCAAAAAATTTTATGTTTGCTATACACACTACTACATATAAAATAGATAACTAATAACGACCTACTGTACAGCACTGGGAACTCTACTCAATACTCTGAAATGGCCTATATGGGAAAAGAATCTAAAAAAGAGTGGATCTATGTGTAACTAATTCACTTTGCTGTACACCTGAAACTAACACAACATTGTAAATCAACTATACTTCAATAAATTTTTTTTTAATTTTAAAAAGGAAAAATGTAATTAAATATGTTCATACAGATTCACTTAAAGCAAAGAAGCCAGATAACTTCAACTCTATTAATTCTACATTAAATCAACCATCTTCAAGCTGTAAGATGAGGCTTCTTTGTTAACAACCTTTCATTTGTTAACATCTGCTGTGCTGCTACCCCATGATCATTTATATCTAAAATACCACGTATCATTTTGATTGTTGTTGAGAACTAGTGACTGCCTGGAGAAGAAAAGAAATAAAATAATCTGAAGCAAATTTTTAAAAATTTAAAAGAATAAAATCTGTATTTAGAAAAGTAAATAAATCGATGTTATTTTGGCTATTTTGGAAATGTTTTTATGCATAATGAAGTGCTTAGATTGAAATATCACGATGTCTGTAATCATTTCTTAAAAATACTTAGCATAAAAAGTAAAGCGAAAAAAAATCTCGGTCAAAAATGTTCACCTTAAAAAGTCTGGGATCATTAAGGGATTGTCTCCCTTATGTTTCCTTCGACAACGTATAACTAATCACATCTCTCCGGTTACTACTAGCCTCCAAATAAATAAATGAATGAGTCAGAATAAATAAATAAAATAAAAATAGTTAACCTGGAAAGTTGAAGACGAGAAGAAATCTGAACAAAGTCTTCAAAACCACGAATAACATAACGCTCATTTACCAAATCCTGGTACCCCTGAAGCAATTTAACTTTAACACAAATAAGTGTAAATATTAATTCACAGAGAAGTAATGGCAGGTTAGAATTCACTGAACAAAAGACAGTATGGGCTAAAAATCTATGTAATGTAAAAATTATTTAGATATCAAACGTGTGCCATGGGTTACGATAGAAACCTTAAAGTCTCTAAGACTGTCTCCTTAATGACAGGTGATGACGCGGAGAACCATGCTCACATCCTCACAGAAGACAGATCCCTGGACTCATTAGAGCCACTATAAACGTCACTCTTTTCTAGAGATCAGACTTGTGGTTACCAGAGGCAGGGGATGGGGGAGGGGGAATTGGAGGAAGGCGGTTAAAAGGTACAAACTTCCGGTTATAAAATAAATAAGTCCTAAAGATGTACAGCATGGTGACTACAGCTAACACTGCTGGATGGTATATTTGAAAGCTGCTAAAAAGTAGATTCTAAAAGTTCTCATCACAAGGAAAAAAACATTTTTTTCTGGATGTACGTGAGGTGATGGATGTTCATTTACTGTGGTAATCATTTCACAATATACATAAGCCAAGTGATTACGTTGTACACCTTAAACTTACACAGTGCTATATGTCAATTGTATCTCAATAAAACTGAAAGAAAAAAATTACTCTTTTCTTACAAATATTTCGAGCTAAAAAGGACCACAAAAGTCACCTAAACCAACTAGGTCTTTCTGCTGTGAGGAAACTGGATGCAGGTATCCAGCCCGGAGCCCAGAAAGTTAGTGAAAAGCCTGTGAGTTGAAACTGCCAGCCCTTCAGAGTGTCCTGTTAAAATTGTAAACAACATCTCAGCTTTTGAAATCCAAACTTCAGGGATCCTTACCTCCTTGTGAGTCAATGAACTCTGTTTCTGTAATTATTACTATGTGAATTAGTACTTTATTTGTCTTAAAGTAAATTTCCTCAAGTGATATGCCCTCATTACAGGGCACTGAGTTGGGTATATGAATTTATGTTACATTAGTCATGGTTTTAAGGATTAAAAACAAACCATCAGGGACTTCCCTGGTGGCGCAGTGGTTAAGAATCCGCCTGCCAATGCAGGGGACACGGGTTCAAGCCCTGGTCTGGGAAGATCCCACATGCTGTGGAGCAACTAAGCCCGTGCGCCACAACTACGAAGCCTGCGCTCTAGAGCCCTCGAGCCACAACTACTGAAGCCCACGCGCCTAGAGCCCGTGCTCCATAACAAGAGAAGCCACCGCAATGAGAAGCCCACGCACTGCAATGAAGAGTAGCCCCCGCTCGCCGCGACTAGAGAAAGCCCATGCACAGCAAGAAGAACAAACACAGCCAAAAAAAAAAAAAAAAAAAAAAAAAAATCGTTGTTGATAATTAAAGAAGTTACAGCTCTCCCCGATTCATAGGGCGAAACTGCTTTTCTCTAAGGATTTTGATACTTTAAATGCCATTACTCCAATAACACTGCTGTGAGCTGAGAATAAGACTTTTTAAAAAAAATTTTAATTAATTAATTTTTGGCTGCATTGGGTCTTTATTGCTGCACGCTGGCTTTTTTCTCTAGTTGCGGCAAGCAGGGGCTACTCTTTGTTGTGATGCATGTGCTTCTCATTGCGGTGGCTTCTCTTGTTGCGGAGCACGGGCTCTAGGGTGTACGGGCTTCAGTAGTTGCAGCACACAGGCTCAGTAGTTGTGGCTCGAGGGCTCTAGAGCGCAGGCTCAGTAGTTGTGGTGCATGGGCTTAGCTGCTCCATGGCATGTGGGATCTTCCCGGACCAGGGATCAAACCTGTGTCCCCTGCATTGGCAGGTGGATTCTTAACCACTGGGCCACCAGGGAAGTCCAAGAATCAGATTTATTAATTCAAATGTTCACTTGGTTCATCCATGAGAACAAAAGTTACAAAATATTAAAATAATCAAAGAACTACATTGTCTTAGATTTTAAAAACTCTCCATAAAAGAAAGCCCCAAAACCTAAGGATCATCTTTGTATTAATGTTTTCTTTTAGTAATATCTTTAGTTAATATAAAGGCAGAGACCATTTACTTAAAACATCAAACAAAACTTGGTTCTTTACCTAATAATCCACGGAGGTTAAAACATTCCAACTCAACTCTACAAGTGATATCAAAACCAAATGACTGGGCATACAGTACAACAAATATCCTAATAATTAAATGAAATAATGCAGATGCAAGTACTTGGCATATAATGAGCACTAAAAAGAAATAACGTCCATTCTTCACAGGGAATCTACCATCTTCTTTGTAAAGGATGCTTTTATACAAATATTGATCCGTTCATTCAGAGTATGAATTGGCATGAAATGAAAAGGGGATTTCCAAACTTCTAACATCAAGCAAGTTCAACTAAAAGATGAACAAGTAATATGATATCCTGCCTGATTTGGACATACTTTTATAAGTATCATCGGCCTCACGTTAAGTCAGGTGCATTTTCAATAATGTACTAGAAGACATCACTACAGAACATAAATCACCTGAGGAAAAAAAGTCTTCCAACTACAGTACCTCTAAATAACACTAATATTACCACTTTAATTACCTGGTTTCAGGAGATGAAGAGATTTCATTTGTGTCTGCCCTTTTACTTCTTGGAAATGATGGACTAGCCGCAGGCATCTCACCACTTAAGCGGTCTGGGAAAATTCGGTCTTTATTCAAATTGATTTCTGAATAGGGACAGGTGGCAGCACTAAAACATTAAAATTTTTAAAAAAACGAAAGAAAAGAACACTCCTGTTAGAGCATAATTACTTCTTCCAATTAAAATGACAAGCTAAAAATATAAAATGCAAAAATTTAACTGGATATATATATTTACATAGATTAAACATACAGTATGAAATATTTTATCTTTAAAACATAATTTAAGGGCTTCCCTGGTGGCGCAGTGGTTGAGAATCTGCCTGCCAATGCAGGGGACACAGGTTCGAGCCCTGGTCTGGGAAGATCCCACATGCCACGGAGCAACTAGGCCCGTGAGCCACAACTACTGAGCCTGCGCGTCTGGAGCCCGTGCTCCGCAACAAGAGAGGCCGCGATAGTGAGAGGCCCACGCACTGCAATGAAGAGTGGGCCCCGCTTGCTGCAACTAGAGAAAGCCCTTGCACAGAAATGAAGACCCAACACAGCCAAAAATAAATAAATTAAAACAAACAAACAAACAAACATAATTTAAGTATATTCTGATAGAAAATATGTCTTTGCATTAGATTTTTAAATGCAGTCTTTGGAAGTGTGCAATGGTCACCGAAGGACTCCCTCCTGTGTTGTCCAAGGGCAGGGCCTGTGCATATCTCTAGGAACCATCAGCCCAAGAGAGAAATGCTTAACATAGAAGGGTGGGTGATAGAGGTGGGACACAGACAGAGTGATTGACAGATGGAGCAGATCCCTTCCTAAAGTGATCTTCCAGGCCCAGGGCCATCACAAACTGTTTAATTTCCTTTATAACAGCTGCTACCCTCCAAAGGAAGGAGGTTCCCCCCATTTCCTGTCTCCAGGCCCATATGTATACCTGATATCCTAGAAAAAAAAAAAAATCAATCTGTAGCTATTCCCATCCCTAATATGAAAACGGACCAGAAGCCAACTTGGATAATGACCCATCTAGCTCCCTTCCCTTCTATCTGTGACCACTGGTTCGTCTCTCAGATTCCATGGGGGGATCACTCCTGTTATCCAAGCAAAGGGAATCTAGGTCACTAACTGTTAATTCAGCATTAAGTCAGCATACTCCTGTGCGTGGGCCTCAGCTTTCCAGTCTCCAGAAAAACTGGGCAGCCTCTATCTCAATACATAATCAGCCCCTCCAACTAACTCCCTATCTTGCCCCTTGGTGTTTTTTTTTTTTTTTTTGCGGTACGCTGCCCTCTCACTGTTGTGGCCTCTCCCGTTGCGGAGCACAGGCTCCGGACGCGCAGGCTCAGCGGCCATGGCTCACGGGCCCAGCCGCTCCGCGGCATGTGGGATCCTCCCGGACCGGGGCACGAACCCGTGTCCCCTGCATCGGCAGGCGGACTCTCAACCACTGCGCCACCAGGGAAGCCCTGCCCCTTGGTTTTTAGGAAGCCTCCTGAAATCTGGAAATGATTGGGACTTAGGTAAATTATATTAGTGTCTTGCATATTCTTTTCCTCAGGTTAGGTACTATTTGGAATGTTGATAATCACCTAGGGAAAATTTTTAAACACTGACTTTCTGCCCTCTACCAAGAGAATCTGACACATCCTCCTGGGAGGAGAGAAGAGTCTGCAAATGCTCCCAAGTGATTCTGATAATGGTCTATAAAATTTATCACAGATACCTTGTAAGCAAAAGTACTATCTTTATTTTCTTTACTTACATGCTACTTTGATATCTATGCAAAAGAGGAAAGTAAATAACATTTGATCATGTGTTGACATAAATGTGTATAATGTTAACCCAACAATAACAAAAACAAAACCAGTGATATTTATGGAGCATTTACTATATATAGAACACCATGCTAAGTATTTTACATTCGCTTTTTACTTAATCTTTACAATAACCCAAAAGGGAGGCTTTTCATGTGACAAACTAAGTTTAAAATGGTTAGATAACTTCACTCTTGAATTATTTCATTCATTTGATCGACAAGTATTTATCAAGTAACTATGATGTGTTAATTACCTTTCTAGCCATGGGAAACACAGTCAAAATGAAAAAGACAAGCTGTCTGCTCTCATGGAGCTGATATTCTAGAAGGGGATGGGCTATACATGATTTACATAAATAAACTGGACAACCCCACATAGTGACAAAAGCCAGAATATAATGTAAGAGAGACTGCGGGGCTGCGAGGGGGGTGGTGAGAAAGGGTCTCTCTGAAGAAGGCATTCCAGGAAATGAGAAGAGTAATACAACACAGGGAAAGCCAGGCATGAGTAAGGGAAAGACAGACCAGCTAGGCTAGAGTGAAGTGATCAAGGGCAGGAGATGGTGTAGAAGCAGGCAGGGAAGTATTATGTAGGTCCTAGCAGGTCATAGTCACCAGTTCATATTTTTATTTTAGGTTCAATTTGTAGCCATTGGAGGACCTTTGAATAAAGAAATGATATGGTTTGATTTACAGCTGAGAATAATCACTCAGGATTCTAGATGTGCTCTGCAGCTTTATCCACAACGAGCAGGCACAACTTGGAGGACTCCGTTTTCTCATTTGTAAAATGAAGATGACAACGACAAACATTACCACAGACTGAGCGCGTTACCCGGGGTGCGTGCTTTACTTGCATCACCTCGTCTAACTCCTATTAGAGTTAGGAATTTGGAAGAATAGGAAGTCACTCCTATTCTAATGCTCAGTTTATAGATGTTGAAACTGAGGCTTTAAAAAGGGAAATTGCGGGCTTCCCCGGTGGCGCAGTGGTTGGGGGTCTGCCTGCCGATGCAGGGGACACGGGTTCCTGCCCCGGTCCGGGAGGATCCCACATGCTGCGGAGCGTCTGGGCCCGTGAGCCGTGGCCGCTGAGCCTGCGCGTCCGGAGCCTGTGCTCTGCAACGGGAGAGGCCACAGCAGTGAGAGGCCCGCGTACTGAAAAAAAAAAAAACAAACAAAACAAAAAAAACAGCCCGGGCTGAATCCCAGGTCTGCCACTCTCTGATCCTGGGCACTTTCACAAGCATTCTAAATCTCTCCTCCCACTTCTGTAAAACAGAGATTAGAACAGTGCCAGCTTTATAGAACTGCTGAGAGAATTAAATGAGATAACAGATCTAAGTGCCTCACAAATAGGAAGCCACAAAAAAAAATCTTGCCTAGGATTATTATTTTAAAAGGAGAAAAAGAGTAACACTTAACCCCTACTGTGTAAAAGACCATCAGCAAAAATAAACAATAGCATTAAAAACTCCATAATATGCCCCATTTATGGAGGCTCTCTGCTTCCCTCAGGAAAAGTTGATGCTTCTCTCCGAGTGCTACTCATTCATGCCTCTCCAAAAATCTGTTTGTACCACACTCTTCTCCTTAGAAGTAGGGGCCCTCTCCTCTGTACAGCCCATCACCTAACCCAGTATCTGCATACAGCAGACACTCAGTAAGTGTTTGTTCCACGAACGGATGGATGTTGAACGAATATGATGACTATAGTTTGCAGGTATAAATCCAGAGTTACTAATTTTTTAAAACTCTCCATGGACTTTATAAATATCCTTTAAGGTTGCAGGAAGTACTCTCTGTTTTTTTCTTTTCTTATTTAATTTCACCAAGATAAACCTTACATAGGAAACATTTACTTCTGAAGGCATTAGATATGTAGAACATTTAGTTTTATATAACTTTAGTTATCCTTTAATCTCCTCCCATTATGACCTCTCGGTAGGCCAAATGAATGAATCAACAAAGGGAAACACCATGACACAACCAATATTAATGCTGCCTTGCTAGAGACAGAAGTAAGTCATCTGGCTCCTGAACATCCCTAGAAATGAGAACACCATATCCACATCCAACTCACTCACTGATTGTTTACATTTCAACATTGAAAAACATCACATTCTTACATTTCATTGTTGAGAACACATTTCTGTTTCTAACACTTCTTAGATCAAATTCAACCATTGTAATTTCTGGAGACTCTAACAACACATGCTAGTCAAAACACAGGCTTTTGCTTACACGTTCATAAAATTGATTATTCGTGCCAAAAGAGCAACTTTCCTTGTTATCTAAGCAAACAATGCATGTTTTGATTTATGTGGTTTCTCAGTAGATTAATCCAAGCAGAATTTTCTCGTTGTTTTCCTAAGCACAGCATTCTCAGTAAGGACAAAACTAAGCGCCAGTGAAATGAACCTTTTAAAGAACAGCCATGATGCAGCAGCTCTTCCACAAGCCTACCAAGGAAATGGAAAACAGGCTGTGACTGGTAAGGATTAATATCCCGCCAGATAAAGAGCTTTGAGTGCTGAAAAGAGAACAGCATATTCAGGGAGACTAAGAAAAGCCAGCTGAGAGGGCTGAAAAGAAGGGAATATAGGACACAGGCAGGAGCTGACACTAGTTCTCTGGATCGCATCCCTGCCCCAGAGTTATATACAGATCTGCCGGTTATGTCTGATACGTGACAAGGAAATGAACACAATGAACACGACTTCTTTATCAATGCATGGCTTCTAAGCCATGAGGTATACTTCTTCCTCTCTCATTCCAGAAAACAATGAGTCATTCTCCACTATGGTTCCAATTATACTGATAGATTTTTTTTTTTTTGGATCACATTTCTCCATAACATCTTTCATGATTCTCCCCATAATTTCTCCCTTCATTTAGCAAATACAACACTGCATCTTTGAAAAAAGACTCCAGAGAGAGTCACTGAAACTTTGTGAAATGGGTGTGGACCAGGTGAAGGACCCTCAGAGTTCCACAGCACACTTAGGGAAAGGCAGTCTTAATGAATGGCTGGTGCCATCAGGCAAGGGACAGGACTGTCACCACAGACCTTGCTGTGACAGGCAAACCTCTCTGCTCAGACCTACAGCACTCCTAAAAAGATTATGGACATTGTTACAAGGTGGATTTCCTTCCCAGAAGACCAAAAAAAAAAAAAATTCTTTGTAAATTTTTCATTGTACCCCCCAAAACATAATGTCAGTATTCACCCATTTTTAAGATTTCTTTTTTTCCTTCATAATTTGAGCAAATTGCCTTTGGTTCAATGAACATCTTGGGGTTGTACAGTAGAGAGGTACATATGTCAAAGTTTCAATATTAGTTACTATTTTGTATCTTATATTTTAATAAAATTATGTACAGCTTTTATAGGTCCATTAGTCCCTGAGTTCTTTGAAGGCGGGATCTGTGGCTGATTCAGGGAGCCATGCCCTGAGAGTCAGTGAGAGGGGGGTGGTCAAGGGCACAGTTAGACTGGGCACCATTCCTGGCTCCCCCGTCACCAGCAGTCAAATAGGCAAGTTAGAAAAACCTCTAGGGTGCCATGGTGGCTTCATCAAAAAAATGGAGGAAATAATAGTTCTGTATTATAGGGTCGCTTGAAGGTTATCCAATACATGTAAAACAATTTGTGCAAAGCTCAGAGAGAGTAAACAAATGCTCAATAAATCTTACTAAAAAAAAAAAAACACTGCTCAACAATATTTACTAAATGAAAGAATTTACAGATATATAATGGAAATATAGCATACTAATGAGCTTTTGGACTTATATACAGTAGTCACTCCCTATCCGTGGTTTTGCTTTCTGTGGTTTCACTTGTCTAAGGTCAACCAAGGTACGAAAATATTAAACGAAAAATTCCAAAAATAAACAATTCATAGGTTTTAAACTGTTCGCCATTCTGAGTAGCGTGACGAAATCTCACGCTGTCCTACTCTGACCTGCCAGGGAGCAAATCACCCCTTAGTCCAGTGTATCCCGCCCGTTAGTCACTTAGTAGCCACCTAGGTTATCAGATCCACTGTCGAGGTATCACAGGGCTTGTGTTAAGTCACCCTTACTGTACTTAATAACAGCCCAAAGTGCAACAGTAGTGATGCTGGCAATCCAGGTACACCAAAGAGAAGCTGTGAAGTGCTTCCTTAGGTGAAAAAGTGACAGTTCTCGACTTCACGAAGAAAGAAAAAAATCATATGCTGAGGTTGCTAAACTCTACAGTAAGAACAAATCTTCTATCTGTGAAATTTTGAAGAAAGAAAAAAATTCGTGTTAGTACTGCTGTCACACCTCAAACTGCAAAAGTTAGTGTATAATAAGCATTGAGTTAAAATGGAAAAGGCATTAAATTTGTACAATGAGATATTTAGAGAGAGAGAGACCACATTCACATAACTTTTAATATAATATATTGTTATAATCGTTCTATTTTATTATTATTGTTGCCAATCTCTTACTCTGCCTAATTTGTAAATTAAATTTTATCACAGGTACGTATGTATAGGAAAAAACATAGTACATATAGGGTTTGGTACTATCTGAGGTTTCAGGCATCCACTGGGGATCTTGGAACATATCTCCCACAGGGATAAGGGGGGTAAGGGAGATACTACTGTAATGCCTAAAAGTAATCCAGCTGCTTTCACTTGCCAATACTGAATCACTTCTAAGATGCAGTATTTTCATGTCCCTTTAATCATACAGCTTTTGGTTTGCAGTCATACAAGCCATGAAAAGGATTTTTAAATGGATATTTGCAAATGGAATCATTATTCTATCTATGCACAGACTTTTACTCTGGAACACACTGAACCCCATAAAAAAACTTGGTATGGGCTTCCCTGGTGGTGCAGTGGTTGAGAGTCCGCCTGCTGATGCAGGGGACACGGGTTTGTGTCCCGGTCCAGGAAGTTCCCACATGCCGCGGAGCGGCTGGGCCCGTGAGCCATGGCCGCTGAGCCTGCGCGTCTGGAGCCTGTGTGTCCGGAGCCTGTGCTCCGCAACGGGAGAGGCCACAACAGTGAGAGGCCCGCGTACCGCAAAAAAACAAAAAACAAAACTTGTCAGGAGTGTTGCAAAAGGAAGATAAGCAGCATTTGAGGCTGCAGAGATTTAAGAAAGAGGAAATTATATAAAGATAAAATAATCACACCAATTTAACAATTTCTATTAATTCTTAGAGGAACAGGTAGTGAAATCTTCAGATTTTTTAAAGACCTAGATTCACAACCTGTATAACCTAGGTAAACAAGGAATCATTATTATTACTGGGCCATCCAATTAACATACAGTTAGAATACTTATACCGACACATTATTATTCTAATATGTACGTGAATAAGGTGATGCCTCTGTCCTCTAAAAATCCCAGTTAAATCACAGAAATTTCTTACTATTTCAGTAGTATTTTAACGTGTCTACAAAGACCCCAAATTGCCTGAACAATACATCACATTTCAAATGTACAAATTCGGTTTCTTTCTTTTAAGTTACTTAGATGTGAGAGAAAAATATTGAAAAACTTTATTTTTGACAATGTATTCTGATGTTTGTCTATTTATATTTGTGGCTTTTGTGATCTTTGCTGCTAATCTACAATAATCTCACCTCTCGTTATTCAAATTGTTGAGTCACCCAATCATAGAATATTCTACCAAACAAATACTTTCAACAAGGCCTGCCCCCTTCTCATTATTAATAATCAACCCAAAATGACTATCTCAGAAGTTCAGTATCTATAAAACTAATCAGGTTGCCAAGAAAAGCCAAGTACCTAGAGTGAATCTATTTTAAATCATGAACGCATTCTTTCCCAGGCAAATTTAACTACAGATACACTCTTCATTTTTACATGGTCCCCATGGTAACCACATTTCATATGGATCTGAACGCAGAATTAGTTAATATCTATTTAGTATACATGGAAATCATTATCTTCCACATACAAGGGACAAGCACCCTCTGACCACATAAGGAATCTCCACCTGAGTGGCAGCACCACATACCTGTGAGGGCCCAGGTGTCTTGCTCTCTTAAAATGGCCAATCCCTTTACATCCTGGGGTTGAGCATCCACCGTGTTCCGAGGCTTCCATTAATTCTAAGGGGCCTATTAAAAAGCCAAAAACAAAGCAAAAATTTAAGGCTATAAGAGTCAAATGTCTTGGATCAGAATAGGGAAAAAAAATCCAATTTTTCAATCAACATGTATAAACAGAAAAAGAAGGTCCTACAAAATTAAAAATACATCTAAAGTCTCTACTTCTAAAGGTTTTCCCCAGGACTTTGCTCACACTTCAACAGTGAAATGGTAACCTTTGATCCAACCCTCTTTCAAAATGTCACAAATTCCAGAGATACCGAAATCTAAAATAATGAGATGATTCTGAACATTTTGATCAAGTAAATAACATAATTAATATATGAATACCTGGACACTGTGAAAACTTCAGAGAATACACCAGAATACAGAAGAACAGTTACAGATGCCCTCAAGCAACTCTCCTCACCTTTCATTCCTTTTCCTGACTAATCATGTTAATGTGTAACCTTCCTAGATGTTCCAAGCATTCCCACATGTATCTATATTTGTATATATACATGTATCAAGTTTTTGGTTTTATTTTGCCACATAAAAGGCACAACATAGATATGTACGATTCTGAAACATTCTTCTTTGGTCCTTAACTTCATGTCTTATAAATCTTTCCATCTCAATAGTAATATTTTTATGACTGTTGCATTGTAGCTGTAGCATGAGTGCACCATAATTTATTTAACCAATATTTGTTTCCAAGGTTTATTATTTTAAACATACTGTAACCGATACCATGTCTGTGTATTCTGGTGCCCTTATGTAGCTTCTATGTGGCATCCAGAAGTGAAGCCACCAGGTGGGGGAAGGCATGTGAAATTTTTAAGAAACCCGACAATAATGTATTTGCTACATTTTTCTTTCTACAATGTATTTATTTTCCTCCAAAACTGAGATCTGGTATGTCAAGTTCTCAGTGTACCTTTTTTAAAAAATTGAAGTTAACTGAAATTTTTATTGAGGTGACTGTAGCTTCGCACGCAGTTGTAAGTAATAATACACAGGGAGATCCCTTGTACACTTTGCCCAGTTTTTCCCAATGGTACTATTCTGCAAAACTACAAGATAAAATCACTATTAGGATATTGACATTGATACATTAAATTTTGATAGTCTGACAAATTGTCTTCCAAAATTTAGTGCTAGTTTTAAAAGATGATGATACTGTTAAAGTCTAGAAACACTCTACTTTTTCAAATATTAAATTTTTTCTTTTATGTATTTTTGACTATCAGGTAACTAAAAATGCAGTAAGAGGCAAAAGGATTAACCAAAGAAGAAATGTACACTAGAGAAGTATTGGGTTGGCCAAAAGGTTTGTTTGGTTTTTCCCATAAGATGGCTCTAGTAGTACTTAGTTGTCTTTAACTTATTTCAAAACAATTTTGTTAGATTTTATGTGACAGCTGTCATATTAGCATGCATTTAAAAAAAGACATCAGAATTGGTGAATTTTTGTGTAGCCATTTTAATACGGAAGATGGAAGACAAAAAGCAACATTTTTGGCATATTATGCTTTATTATTTCAAGAAAGGTCAAGCGCAGCCAAAATGCAAAAAAAGATTTGTGTAGTGTATGGAGAAAGTGCTGTAACTGATCGAACATGTCAAAAATGGTTTGTGAAGTTTCAGGCTGGAGATTTCTCACTGGACGATGCTCCATGAGACCAGTTGAAGCTGACAGCGATCAAATCGAGACATTAATTGAGAACAATCGACATTATACCAGGTGGGAGATAGCTGACAATACCCAAAATATCAAATCAAGCATTGAAAATCATTTGCACCAGCCTGGTTATGTTTATCGCTTTGATGTTTGGGTTCCACGTAAGTTAAGCGAAAAAAACCTTCTTGACCATATTTCTGCATGTGATTCTCTTCTTAAACATAATGAAAACATTCCGTTTTTAAAACAAGCTGTGATAGGCAATGAAAAGTGGATACTGTACAATAATGTGGAACAGAAGAGATCGCGGGGCAAGTGAAATGAACCACCACCAACCACACCAAGGGCCAGTCTTCATCCAAAGAAGGTGATGTATATATGGTGGGACTGGAAGAGAGTCGTCTATTATGAGCTCCTTCTGGAAAACCAAATGATTAATTTCAACAAGTACTGCCCGCAATTAGACCAACTGAAAGCAGCACTCGATGAAAAGCATCCAGAATTAGTCAACAGAAAACACATAATCTTCCATCAGGATAACGCAAGGCCGCATGTTTCCTTGATGACCAGGCAAAAACTGTTACATCTTGGCTGGGAAGTTCTGATTCATCTGCTGTATTCACCAGACATTGCACCTTCGGATTTCCATTTTTTAGATCTTTACAAAATTCTCTTAATGGAAAAAATTTCAATTCACTGGTAGACTGTAAAAGGCACCTGGAACAGTTCTTTGCTCAAAAAGATTAAGTTTTGGGAAGACTGAATTACGAAGTTGCCTGAAAAATGGCAGAAAGTAGTGGAAAAAAAGGGTGAATACATTGTCAATAAAGTTCTTGGTGAAAATGAAAAATGTGTCTTTTATTTTTACTTAAAAACTGAAGGCACTTTTTGGCCAACCCAACAGAATGAGAAGGTAGAGGAAAAGAAAATATTAAGCACACTACACAAGAAAATGGAAACATTTCTTTAGGTTATCACTGTGTCTCTTACTCAAAGGAGGCTGAAGAGGATGCCCGGTTTTTGAACACCAACCGACGGGGTGAATATCAGGAGAATCTGCATCTATCCAGTAATCATAGCAACTATTCCAGCCATCAAAGTGAACCTGGATAACAAAAAGAAATTAATAGTATAATTTAGGTCACGAGAATTCCTACAGTAAAAGTTTTGCCCACCATAACCATCTTCATTCTCTTCTAACTTATTTAGTACATTTAATATCCAGATAAATTATTCAAATTACTTCATCCTAGTATGAGAAAAGAGGTACTGTTGGGGCTTCCCTTGTGGCGCAGTGGTTGAGAGTCCACCTGCCGATGCAGGGGACACGGGTTCGTGCCCCGGTCCGGGAGGATCCCACATGCCGCGGAGTGGCTGGTCCTGTGAGCCATGGCCGCTGAGCCTGTGCGTCCGGAGCCTGTGCTCCGCAATGAGAGAGGCCACAGCAGTGAGAGGCCCACGTACCGCAAAAAAAAAAAAAATGAGGTACTGTTGAACTACATTATCTAACCATAATTAAATGTCTTGACAAGGGCACTTTTCGGGTAATACTTCTACAGACATATTACATGTATCTCCCACTACTATAAGCAGTTTGAGTACCTAACATCTTCATATGAGCAACACTAAACACCCAATAAATATTACTGAGCAATGAATAAATCAGGGAAGGGAGGGAGGAGGAGGGAGAGTAGAGAAGCAGGACCTTTCATATAAATGTCAAGTCTCCTAGAATTATGCTAAAGAAGACTTAAAAAAATTCAGCAGATGGACACCCAATTTACAAAATATGCCTCCATCAAATGCATTTTAAAATATTTTTTCTCATAAATAACTACAATATCTCTCAAAGAGATTTTACAGAGTGGTCAGGGCTACCAACTTTATTGGCCACCATGTAAAAGGGCAGTTAGTCTTTCAGGCATGGTTACTAAGGATCAGCTACATATCTTTCAAGTATCACATAGTTTTTATCTTTTAGAAGGAAAGGATATACTAAAATGTTATATATATTTTATTCTAGATCAAGTTTGCCAGCTAGATTTCCTTCTTAAAGTCTATGAATCTCTTACTACTAAAAACACAATAGATGCCAGATGGATAAAAAAATCCAAACACTGAAAACTGAACAATAAAAGTTCTAGAAGAAAGCATACATTAATATATTTATCTCAGAGCGCAGTAGCCTTTGTAAGGAAGACACCAAACTCAAAAGCCATAAAAGAAAAGATGCATCAATTCGAGTACATCAAAATTTAAATATTCACAATGGCAAATATTACTGCTGGCAAGATGGAAAACCCAAAAGAAACCTGAAAAACACATCTGTTAACATGTGACAATGTACTTCGTTCCTTAATTTGTAAAAACACCATATATCAGTATAAAAAGATGAAAAATCCAACAGAAAAGATGGAAAAGATACAAATGGCTCATAAACAAGAAAATAGTAAACACGTGAAAAGACAATCAATTTCACTTATAACTAAAAAACTACAAATTAAAATCACAGGATGAAATTCTTCTTTCAATATGCCAAAATATTCCATTTTGGTGACTTCTAGAGCTGATAAGTATGAGAATAAATGGACGTTCTCATAGACCATTGACAGGAGTCTTGACTGGTGAGATATTTCTGGAGAGTTATTTGGCAATAATGGATCAACACTTAAAATATATCATCTTTGACTTGATAATCTAAATAACTCAACTCGTTGTAGTAGAAAGCAACCAGAGTGTCTAACATCAGGAGATTGGTTAAATAAATTATGGTATATTTATATGATGGAATAGTACAGAGTTATTAAGGTATGTATATATGGGTTCAATATAATGTCCATTGCAATGACTCCACTTTCTCAAGCTTAGAAATTAATTAATCCTAGAATTAAATCCCACAGAATTCCACACCTTCAGGAAATCATGGATAATATTTTAAAGAGGAGAAAAGATCACAGAGCTAGTTAGGAGGAGTAAGAGGCTAAAATTCATGGATCCAAAATAAACTGGTTCATCACTCACATACATTGCATATAAAAGCAGCACTTAAAGAAAGTTGTTTAACTTGAAACAACCCTTTCCTTTCCTCTGATCAAAAATAATGTTCAAATAACACAGAATGATATTCATGGTGATTTTCTAAAGTTTATGCTATCAATGCCACCAATAGATAAGCAGTCATAATTCACAGCATTATAGTTAAGTCTTAAGCATTCTAATTCTCAACTAATCATCAAGTGATAATGCTCTATTTTACTGGATACACGAAACTCTTACGTTTTCTCATCTTGCTGTTCCTGAATTTCACTTCTTCTATACTGGAATCAATGTCCCCATATCTCATGTTCCATTTGTTAAATTTTACAAAATTTAGCTATCTTCCTATAGCAAACAAACTCAATCCTAACAAGTAAGTGGTTCTCCAACCTGGATATACACTAGAATTACTCCTGATTATTGAAAAGAAGAAGAAGAAAAAAAAATACAAAAATGGCTGAGCCCACCAAGGAGGTTCTGAACTTATAGCTTGGGTTCTGTGCACCTATATGTTTACTTAACTTCTAAGTAACTCTGCTGTGCACTCAGAATTGAGTCCCACTGACACTATACAGGACACTACTGTACAGCAATAAAGACTCCAAAAATCTTAATATCATCATAAATAATAGGGTTCTTTAAAAAATCTCCTCCCATATACCTTCAAGAATATGTTGGAGCTACTATATCTGGTGATACCATTAACCCCTTCCTACTTTTCATTAAAACTGACCTCTCAGTTTGGCAATGAAAAGTCATCTATCTTAGATGACAGATATACCTTAGTTACTGTAAATAAGTCTAACATCTCCTACAAACTAGGCTGGCCGGCAATCGGGAGAATCCTAGTACTTTAAGGTTAAATTTCAGAGTTAAAATTTAATTTAGATATTATGAACAGAGGTAACAATACAATTCCCTAAGTAGCAAATGCACTTAAAAACTGCTACCTAATCATTTATATGTGGAATCTAAAAAATAATACAAATGAATATATATGCAAAACAGAAAGAGACCCACAGATATAGAAAACAAACTAGTGGTTATTACCAGAGGGGAGAGAGAAGGGGGAAAGAACAAATTAGGGGTATGGGATTAACAGATGCAAACTACTATGTATAAAATAGATAAGCAACAAGGATATATTGTACAGCACAGGGAATTATAGCCATTACTTATAATAACTTTTAATGGAGTATAATCTGCAAAAATACTGAATCACGACACTGTACACCTGAAACTAATAAAATATTGTAAGTTGAGTATACTTCAATTAAAAAACTGCTATCTGAAATTATGTGAACATTAATAATATATACAAAATTAATATTAACCCTAATTAATATTCTTACTCTGGAATCCCAGATGAAATAAATTTATTAAAGTTTATATAATTTCATTTCATCTTTACTACTTCAGTCCCTGGCACATTAAGAGGCTGTAAACAAACAAAAAATCAGACACTCCAGTAATGGTAATGGATAGCTTTTCTCTTGCTGGGTCCTATTTTGAAATGAAATCAAATGCCTGACAAAGAGCAAGAGAGGAAGATACATAAACATACAAAACAAAATATTTAAACATTGTACAGAACATAAAAAGACATCCAAAAATATTTATAATAGAAATGTCCCAGTATAAAAACAGTTAAACATAAAAGCGACAAGGCTGAATTTCATTAAAATTCTAAAGAAAATAGACTATTATGTATCAAAGCATAGTACAGATGATTTAACTTACACATATTTAAAATTACAGTTTAGAAAACTGAATACATTTTTTAACCTAGGAGTGTAATTTGGACGCTTTATTGTTATTGAAAATTTCAAGATTAAGACAGATAATATTTTTAGAAAGCACACTATTTCTTTTTTAAAAAAATGATTTGGTTCTATTTTCTGTTCAGGTGAAAGGCAACTCAGTAAAACACATTTTAGACCCAGGTGCTTATTTCTGCTCTCTTCTGAAATGAAAGTTATGTTTGAAAAGGTACAAACCCAGAAGGACAAAGGACAAATGGAGAAGGAAAGTAGCTGGTAGGTGAGAAGCGGCAATGATGTATGTGGAGGGCAGAAGCAGATGAGGGAGTGCTGACCCACTGGTAGAGAGTGGGTGGGTTGCAACCCAGATGCCTAGAGAGGGAATGCAGGCCCAGAGTGAACTGGCTCACAGTGCAGAACCCAGAAGGACTCAATGTGGAGGCAGAAGGTATGTGAGGAGGTCTGGAAAATGACAGGATTGGCTCAAACTCTGAATATGGAGTGGTTAGACCTCTAGGTCTGATCCTCTATGCCACCCACCAAAGTAACTGCCCCTTCAGCAACCCCACAAGAGTAGAGGTTTACTTTCTAGAGACATAAGCATGGAGGTTTTAAACTCCAGGACAATGGTGACAGGCAGGACAGAAAGCACACGGACTGAGTGCGAGCCTGTATCCTCCAACCCCATCCTTCTCCCTGCCTCACACAGTGGCCACCAAGTTTGCCCCTCCCTAGGGAGAAGACTAGAAGAAACGGAAAGGCTCTAGACCAAGAATCCAGACGCTGAAGAATGGGGACCTCCCTATAAAAAAAGCTGGCTCTCTGCTCTCTTTTCCCACATGAAGCCCAACAGCCAATAAAGCCCACCTTATTGACTAAAAACAACTAATGTTAAGCGCCTTTTCTTACTGTGAACAGCCAACCAAGGGCTTGACATTTGAAGAGAGGCTCTAATGTGAAAGCAGAAGCCAAACTAACTCAAAGAGGAATTTAGAGAAAATAAAAGGAAACAGAAGGAAAACTATCACTGGTGTCCTCAGATAAGAAACAATATTGCTTCAGGAAATAAAAAGAGGATGCCATTTTGAAAGGGGGGAAGGGAGAAGACTAGAAAATGAGAAAAAACTCTTGAAAATTAAAAAAAACATAGTTGTAATTAAAAATACAATACAGGATTTAAAAAACAGAGTGGGTATCTCTAAGCAAGTAGAAAAAAAAAATCAGAGAAGCATAAGAAAGAAAATATAAGAAAAATAGGGGGTCCACCCCAGAGGTTTAATACCAGAGTGTAGCAGGACTTGCAAAAGACAACAGTGAGAGAGAAGGAAGTCATCAAAGCAATAACGTAAGAACATTTCTAAAAACCAAAGGATATGAAAATCCACAGTGAAAGGGTATTAGTGCCCTGCATGATAAATGAAAAAAGACCCTCACACCAAGGCACGTCACCACAAAACATCAGAATATCAGGGACAAAGATGGTCTTGAGAGTTTCCAGAGAGAAAAGGTACATCACCTAGAGAGAAGGAACCCAGTGGCCTTGGATGTCTCAAAAACTAACACTTGGGCTTCCCTGGTGGCACAGTGGTTGAGAGCCCGCCTGCCGATGCAGGGGACACGGGTTCGTGCCCCGGTCCGCGAAGATCCCACATGCCGCGGAGCGGCTGCGCCCGTGAGCCATGGCCGCCGAGCCTGCGTGTCCGGAGCCTGTTGCTCCGCAACGGGAGAGGCCACAACAGTGAGAGGCCCGCGCACCGCAAAAAAACAAAAACAAAAACAAAACTAACACTTGGCGTGGGAAGACAGCAGAACAATGCTTGTAGTTTCTGAGGGGAAATGATTCTCTACCCCATCACAGTATGAATCAAGTGAAAGGCTAGTATATTGACATTTTCAGATATGCAAAGAGTCGAAAAATATGCCTTTCATACACCCTTCCTCAGAAAGATGTGTTTCAGCAAGGTAAGAGAGTATACAAAGAAGTATAAAGCATGAGACTCAGGAAAAATGAACATACAATATAGTGTGTTGGCAAAGAGGAGTCTCAGGATGAAAGCTGTGTGTGAGGCTGAGAGGGTAACCACGCTGATCAGAATAGGTGGCTGTTAAGCTGTGGGAAGAAGGGTTCAGGAAAAAAAGAAACATATAGATGCAAGATTCAAAAATACACTTGAGCTTTTTGACCAAAAGACTTGTCAGATTTATTGGAGCATTTGTTAAAATCTAGTAAGAACACAGACAATTTAAAATCAAAATAGAAATTAATTACTGACTCTAGGAAAAACAAAGTATCATAAGAAAAAGACTCCTTTGCTCAGCAGTGGACAAGATTTGTTTACAACAGTAAACATGGAAGAGTGAAAAAAAAAGAACAAACACTGTGAAATAATTACTGAAAGGATAAGCGGAAGGGAAGGATGACAAGATCTAAATCCTGAACTACCAAAACAGGAAGGAAATAAATATATTTAAAATTGATGGATTCAGAAATAGCAGAATGCAGCTACTATTTTTTTAAACTGCCGATCAAATGTCATAAGCAACAGCCAAAAGAGGTGAAAGTTCCTGCCTCTGGGGAACCAGAGGTGGGGATGGAGAGGGCAGAACAATCTTACGTTCTGTCACGAAAACATAAAAGACAAGAGCAAAAATATTCTTGTCATTTTTCTTCAACAGCAAAATACACCAGGTTTAAAAAAATTTAACTGTAATAACTCAGTGTGAAATATTATGTATTACATAACTTAAAAAGTTGATTTTATTTAACTTAAGAGTTGATTTTTATCCTTAGGAAACTTAAAATATTACACTACACTAATGACTTCGTCTCTATTTTCCGCTTTCTTGTCCTTCCTGAAAAAGAAAAAATAAGCATTCTTGCTATATCATCTCCCATATTATTAGAAAAACTTCTACTGTTGAAAGCGTCCTGTATTTTCACAAGTCTTTGATGAATCCTCAAATTGAGTTACTGTCACCTGTTCATTAACCTTTTGTGGACTTCATAAAAAAACAGATATTTGTCCACTGGTTTATGTTTAGCTATGAAATTCATTCCAGTATTCTAAAAGATGATTGTCAACTATATACCTCACTAGCCAGTTCTTTTTTGTGTATTAAAGATTGACCCAGATGTTGTACTGCAAAGAGAATTCAGCCAGAAGCAAAAAGAGCTGGATTTCTAGTCTAAACTTTTCTCATTAACTAACTGAACCATCCACTTTAGAGTATTTGACCCCTCTGGACCAAAATCACAAAAGTAATTTGTGTTCCTGAAACCTGATAATTAAAAAGAAAAACCTAATCACGTATAATCTTAACAGAAAATCACTGCCATTATTTTGCTTTGTTTATTTCCATAACTGCTTAAGTATGTGTGTGTGTGTATATATATATATATGTATACACACACACATATATATACACATACATACATATATATATACACACATACATATATATATTCTTTTAAAAGACAATACCAGACATTATATATAGTATTAAACCCGAATTTCTCACTTGCCAAAATTAAATATTTTTCTAAAATATGAACCAGCATGTAGACGTATAGTCATTTATTTTTACCCATCTCCCACTCTGCTTATTCTCAATGCTAAATACCATAAACCACTGGCTCTGTTATATCCTCCTTGCAGCTTTTATCTTTGCATATTCCTTTTGGTTATTCCTTTAACATAAATTCCTAGGACTGAAATTCCTGAATTAAAGGATAAACAACATTCTAAGACTTTTGATGCCTATCACCAAACTGCTCTCCAGAAAGGCTGAGACACTTTATACTTTCACCAGCTGTATATGGGAATAAACTTTCTGCACCTAAGCCAAAACACTTTTTTGTTTTCAATTCTGACCAATTTGATTTATAAAAATAATGTATTACTTAATTCTACATTTCTAAGGAAAACTAACAAGAAAACACACTTGAAAAAGATTAACACAGGTCTTCCATTACTTATAAAATTTTCTAAAATGTTATATGATTACACAATCTTAAAAACAGTGAATTAAATGCTAAAAGTTCTATTTTATGGAAATACTACATTTGTACAGGTTTTTCATGTTATTTTATAATTTATTTTCCTATATATTATCTCATTAGAGATTCATGAAGATCTGATTTATTATTATTTAAAGAACATGAACTTAGACTCCTATAGCTTCAGACCGTGACTTAGTTCTGCCACTGCCCATAATTAATAAGTAATTTATTCTGCACCTCAGCCTCATTGATAAAGTAATGACAATAACATAAATCTCCCACACTGCTATCACCACAAATATCAGATAATGGAAGAATATTCCTACCCTGTAAAACTCCATGTAAATCTAATGTCTTGCTGCTCTCATAACTAGTATTATTCTTAACAGAAATTCTAAATGATCCTGTGAGGTAAGTAGAAGGCACATCATTCTGGTTTGAGAGTGAAGTTAATGCTGAAGCCAGAAACAGAGACGAGAGCCTGAAGCTCCTCACCGGGAACTGCTACTACACTTCACTTTACCACATTTGGACGTGGACTGAACCCATCTTCTTACACGTTTCTTTACTTTATGAGAGGTACTTGACTTTTATTAATCCAACTCTAATAAAATCTGACTTTATTTATAAAGATATTGCTCTTAACTTGTCCTATATTAAAAAACAGGATATTCTGAAAAGTCGACATGCACTATACCCCATAAGAAAACACTGACCTTAAATATTTTTTAAAAAGAACACACTACTGGAAAATGAAGTATTATACCTTCTCCTGAATGGATGACCTTAATATGATGTATCTACTTTTTTCCTCCAAATATATACTTAAAATATTAAAAGCCAGTCATAATTAAAGAGAATACTTATGTAAAGTGAAAAAGTGGAAAAATACTGACTCACAAGGATGTGCGCAGCCACTTAATTTGCATATTTCTATGGCTTTACTACTTTGATTCTCGGACTTCACAAATTACATATCTGCTAAAGTTTTCGTCTAAGATGTCCTGTAAAAAAAGACCAAACAAAACCACAAGGGAACACTTACTTTTATTCGGTGATCATCCATGTCTGCAACTGTTGCTACTCTAATAAACATGGGATTTCTTTTGTCTATGACCTCAAGCTTCATTTTTTTCTGGAATCCATGTGGAGGTTTCTGCCATAACAGAAAATTTTTTACAGTGAGATTCAGAGGAAGGGAAGGTGAGCTCTATGTCACAAAGACAGAATTAAAAAAAAAAAAAATGAGTTATTAAGGAAACTAGCTTTTCAAACTCAAGTTCCTAGAATGGCTTTGGACCTCACTCTCCCTATTGAAAAAATAATCCCAAATCACATGGCCAAGCCCACAGGCAATAGAAACAGCCTGGGCAACTAACTAGTCACAGGAGCAAACAGAAAGCCAAAGATCTTAAGATGAAATTCAAAATACTATGGTTTTTTTGATTAGCCATAGGGATGACAAGTTTCTTCTCATTGGTTGGAGGTGTCTTGGCAAAAATCAAACATGAAAATTATTTTTAAAAAAGAGGGGAGAAGCTTCAAGTGGCAAAGATGAGACACAGAGATTAGAGGTGGTAGTGGGACCAAAAAACAACAGATGTCTTTTTAAGAAGAGAATTAGCAATCAAGACATGCAAGATGGAATTGCTCTACTAAGAACAAGAATGAGAATGAGGACCTACAGCTACCCACACCTCAATACTCAGCAAAAACCCATCAGCCTCTGAAAAATGTACGGGCAGAAGGCAAGGTGATTGCTAATGGGTGTAATAAAAGTGTTACTGTGAAAATCAAGTGTGAAAATTATGTAAAGGATGCAGAACAATTAATGCAAGGTACCTAAAGACCAAACGAGAGAAATCTTAATTTTCCCTCTGATGTCACTGTGACACTAGATATGCAGACTGAGCTTGATGTAATTTTATCCAGTTCAAAGCAAAGTGCAAAGCAACTCTTCTTTGTACGAGGCTATGTTAAAGTTAGAGAGTCAGGTAAAATCCATAAATATGACATGACTCTAAACATTACTCATTTATAAATCCTGAATTTACTCTCAGATGGAATCATACAGATTCTTTGATATGGCTTTTCTTCATGTAATATAGTTTTTCTCTCAAAAATTTTGATGTTCTTTTCTTATGTATTTGGGTCCATGCCTACTAATTAATTCTATCATTAAACATCCTAGAAATTTATGCACGAAAGGATCCATTAAATAAAAATGTTGTTTATGACAGACTGTTCACATTTTTTTAAAAATAAAGTATTTAAAACATCTTTCTTTTCCTTTAAATTCATGGGAAAATACAAATTATAAAGATATATGAGATTTAAAAAATTTTTAAATACATTTCATTTCTTATTCCTCCCTTGCACACAACTGAGGTTAACTCTGAATCTTAATATGCAAGAAGCAATGACCCTGAGTTAGAAAGATACTATTATAAAAACAGATGACCTTGCATTTTGGTAGTCAAACATGCTGATTTATAGCAATGAAAGAAAAAAAAACAACCCAGCATCTCAGCTTGCCATAAACAAACCCAAAGGAATGATCAAATATAATTTTCATTATAAAGCAATATCTCGTCCTGTTTGGTCTTTCAGAATATCTAGCTGGAAAGACAGAAGTGTGCTGTACAACCGACTCACTGCAAAGCAATTCAAATATAAGTATTTTCCAAGGAGACTTTCAAGTCCAAAATGGAAGTATTTTTTAGATGCCGACAACAAAACCCCCAGTAACAATTTTGCCTTTCAAAATTGTAAAAATTCAGAAACAACTTCTTTGGTCTTCTGTTTCTCTCCTATTCCTGTTCACCAATACTCTTTCTGTTCTTAAATTTCAATGACTGAACACTATCATCAACACAAAGTAATCAAATATTGTAAAATATAATATCTCACCACTTTGAAAGCTCTTGCAGGAGCAGGTAAAGAATTGGTTTCTTCTAAGTACTTATCCCAAGAAAAATGTTTCACATTTGGATAACCTACGAAGAAAAACAGTAAATCCTGTCAGGTTTAACCAAGATGATAGTGAGAACCACAAACTGACCTATAAAATTATGAGATATTGTTATCATTATAATGAAGAAAATTATGTTCATATTACACAAAATCACTTTAAACTGGTTACACATTCAGAGCTACTTGTAATAATGAAATCATTTTCATCTAGATCATGATTTCTTTATTAACTTTTAAATGAAAATTTAATATATACAATTTTCATTCTCAGGTAAGGATAGTCTTACAACACAAAATACACACAAACATAACTACCCTTTAAAATCTAGCAATTTTACTTCTAATAATCTAGGAAAAATTTCATATGTGTATACAAAGAAAATGCATCATTGTTTGTAAATGTGAAAATGTAAAAACCAGTTAAATGACCATCAATATAGAAATGTGCAAAATATATATATATATACAGTAAGTGTAAAATAGAAAGCATTTATTAAAAAGAATGAGGCAGGTTTATATATATCAATATGTGAAATATTCCAGATAGTCATATTGTTAGGCCAAACAAATAAGTTAAAATAAATCATGGAACAGTATTAACAAAATGTCTAAAAACAAATATCCTTCCTCCCTCCCACCCTCCTTTTGTTTCCTCCAGAGTCCAAAACCCAGTAGGAAGCCATGAGTAGGAATTAATGTTGGCCCAGCAGGGTAGGAAATTGGCTACTTTATATAGTCCCCTTTATGGGGACTGAAAAAATAAGTAAATATACTGGAGACAATAGAAGCCAGATTTCTCAATGGCTAAAAAGAGAGGTATAAATATGAAAAGTGGAAAACCAGAATGAATTCAGTGGTGTTGGATGTGAATTGAAGCTAATGGTATAAATTCATGGTTTTCAATATCTACAAATGGATATAGAAATACACATAAATTTTTTATATGTTTACATAACTGTATTTCCTATGTCTACTGAGAGGCCAGAAGCAGCATTAGTCCAGCAGCAGTGAGCACACCTAGTGTCTAGGTCTTAGTGTCTAAATGTCATTCTCTATGAAAAGGAACCATGGAGTCTGGGAGAAATGGGTGACTTCAGGGTTGGGTCAGGGAAAGCACAAGATAAGCCTAGCTGTAGCAGAAAATAGGAAATTCTCCAAAAAATGATAAAAAAAAACATGTCAAAAGGACATAGAACCCAGCTTAAAAGGGCTCCCACTGGCCAAATCTGAGAAAATCTCGCCATAAAAATAAATAAGGTACTATAGTAATGGATGATAACCTATTGATGACAATAGTAATGTATGGGTCCATGCTGATATAAATAAACTGAATGATAAACAGGAAGATGAGAAAACTATTCTTTGCAGAAGAATGTCAACTAATTATGTACAAGGAATGATGGAATAAGAAAAATTACCATTTAGCAACTGTCTGAATAATAATTCACACTAGAAATATCAACAGATGCTAAAACTAGTGAGTGACATGGGAATGATGCGCAGGATATTTATACAATCTCAAAGTGTGTCCCCCAAATACTTATCAATTACAGAGAGAAAAAAAGTGACATCTGTGAAGAAGCCTGGTAACTACCACCTTGATCAATTACTAGTAAAAGTCAACCAGTAATGACACAAACGGACATGAACTGCCACGTGAGAGGATGCGATGAGAACACAGCACTGTTTCTGGGATATTCCTGCCAAAAATGCATACCCCGGGTCTAATCACGAGGAAGCACCAATCATGCCCAAATTAAGTAATATTCTACAAAATGACTAATCTGTAGTCATTAATTCTCAAGCATATGGCGGTCATAAAAGTCAAGCAGAGCCAAGTGAAGGAGACCAGAGAAATATGACAACTGAGTAATATGCCTGATCCTTTGGCTATAAATGACATCACTGGTACAACTGACAAACTTGAATGGGTCTCTGGTTCAAGGGTATAGATGAGCCATTTACTGTTCTTGCAACTTTTCTGTTCATTCTACTGAATCGTAAAAGTCCATGAAAGGAGACAGAAGACTTGGTAATCTGCCTCACGTCAGAAGTCACTAATAATGCCTCACACCACCCCTTCCCAGGGTACCTAACCCAGTGCTGTGAAAACACAGCCAGGAACCTGTTGCTCACTGGTCCTGTTTATTTACTGGATCCCTGATGATCACTAAAAGGATGATAAGAAAAAAAGGATCATTATCAAACTGGGAAATCCAAAAGAATCCTCACAGCAATTCAGATGGTGATAGTGGCAATCACTATTCACCACTCCTAATATGACATAAGCCACAGGACAGGACTCAGGAGGACTGAATGGGAGAAATCTTCCAGGCAGCAACACATTTGGGCCACAAAACCATTAATACCTTGCTTTAACACTTTACGGTTTATGTAAATGCTCTTTCATCTTCAAAACAGCTCTGTAAATCAGTAAAGGACAGGAGCTTTTATCTGTGAACATAGAAGAAAACTCAGAAAGTGGAAGGGACTCGCCTCTCCCATCACAGGAATGGTTGGTGCCCTGAGTGAGTAAATGATCAGGTACTAACTGAGACGCAGTATCAAGGAACTGGGGACAAGCCTAAAACTGACACCAGCTGGTAGAATGGAATAAGACAAGTATTTGAAGCTCCAAGCTGAGTCTTTATGCTTACATGCTGACCACACAACAGCTCCTAACAAGCCAAGGAGGCATCCTTTCCCTGTGATAATGACAATCTTCGTCACTCACAGGAGTATCCACAAGCAACCACATATACCACAGTGATGCTCTGTGTCAGCCAACCACCCCGTCATTTCATATAAGCAGTCGCCATGGCACATTAGTGATATGCTCAAAAACTCATTGCCTTATGATGAAGCCACAGAATCTGTTCTTTAGCACATGAAAATAAACTCAAATTGACATAACAAACAGTAGACCCACAATCAACACAAACCTGGAGGAGTAATAAGGGTTCTTCGATGTTCTTTACACCAACCAACTGGATGAATGTGTGGGCTAGAGGCTTCACACCTGTAGGTTATATAAATTTAAAAATCGTAATTATCAGGATAAATTCTCAAATACTAGTAAAAGTTCAAAAATGTTAGAGATTGTGAACACCTTATACAGAGTTCTATTTTTTACAATCTATCTAATTTGAAAAAAATATTTGCTATACCAAAGGATTTTTCACTCTTCCAATATATTAGTACCAAGTAGATTTTTATCAGATACATATCGTATAAACTTGATACCAGGGAAATAGTTTTGTTCCCACACAAATTGTGTTATATTCCACAACTTCAAAAATAGCAAAAATTAAAAGATAATAAATTTGTGTGTGTGTGTGAGTGACGGGAAGTCCAGGACATTTGCAAGGTTTTGGGCATGGCCACTAGAAGAGTATACTTACCATTTTTTGAGACAGGAAGAATGCAAGCACAGCCTGACATTCCAAACAGTGAATGAAGAGTTCTGTTACTAACATGTTTAACAAACAGGTCAAGAAGTAGATAATGAGCACAAAAATTTGGAGTTCAAGGGCAAGATCAAGGCTAAAAACACATATTTAGGAGTCATCAGCATTTGGGATGGTATTTAAAGCCATGAGCAGAGATGTGACCATCCAGAAAATGAGTACAGAAACAGAAAAGAGAAGAGAAGAGACAAAGAAGTCCAAGAAGGAATGACTAGTAAAGTAAGAGAGAGAAAGAAAGATGAAATCGATTGGGTCAAATACTACTGTTAGGTCAAAGAAGAGACAAACAAGAACTGATCACTGGATTTACCAACATAAATATCATTAGTATAGTTGAAAAGAGTTGTTTTGGTGGAGCTAGGAATGGGACAGGGCAAAAGCCTGAATAGAATGGGTTTAAGAGAGAGGGGAAGGAGGAGATTGGTTCAATATGGCAGAGTAGAAGGATGTGCTCTCACTCCCTCTCGCGAGAGCACCGGAAACACAACTAACTGCTGAACGATCATCGACAGGAAGACGCTGAAACTCACCAGAAAAGACACCCCACATCCAAAGACAAAGGAGAAGCCACAATGAGACGGTAGGAGGGGCGCAATCACAATAAAATCAAATCCCATAACCGCTGGGTGGGTGACTCACAAACTAGAGAACACTTATACCACAGAAGTCCACCCACTGGAGTGAAGGCTCTGAGCGCCACATCAGGCTTCCCAACCTGGGGGTCCGGCACCGGGAGGAGGAATTCCTAGAGAATCAGACTTTGAAGGCTAGCGGGATTTGATTGCAGGACTTCGACAGGACTGGGGGAAACAGAGACTCCACTCTTGGAAGGCACACACCAAGTAGTGTGAGCATCAGGACCCAGGGGAACGAGCAGTGACCCCATAGGAGACTGAACCAGAACTACCTGCTAGTGTTGGAGGGTCTCCTACAGAGGCAGGGGGTGGCTGTGGCTCACTGTGAGGACAGGACACTGGCAGCAGAAGTTCTGGGAAGTAGTCCTTGGCATGAGCATGCCCAGAGTCCACCATTAGCCCTACCAAAGAGCTGGGTAGGCTCCAGTGCTGGGTCGCCTCAGGCCAAACAACCAACAGGAAGGTAACCCAGCCCCACCCATCAGCAGACAAGCGGATTAAAGTTTTACTGAACTCTGTCCACCAGAGCAACACCCAGCTCTACCCATCACCAGTCCCACCCATCAGGAAGCTTGCAGAAGCCTCTTAGATAGCCTCATCCACCAGGGGGCAGACAGCAGAAGCAAGAAGAACTATAATTCTGCAGCCTGTGGAATGAAAACCACATTCACAGACAGAATGAAAAGGCAGAAGACTATGTACCAGATGAAGGAACAAGATTAACCCCCAGAAAAACAACTAAATGAAGCGCACATAGGCAACCTACCAGAAAAAGAATTCAGAATAATGACAGTGAAGATGATCCAGGACGTCAGGAAAAAAATGGAGGCAAAGCTCAAGAAGATGCAAGAAACGTTTAACAAAGACCTAGAAGAATTAAAGAACAAACAGAGATGAACAATACAATAACTGAAATGAAAAATACACTAGAAGGAATCAAGAGCAGAATAACTTAGGCAGAAGAACAGATAAGTGACCTGCAAGACAGAATGGTGGAATTCACTGCTGTGGAACAGAATAAAGAAAAAAGAATGAAAAGAAATGAAGACAGCCTAAGAGATCTCTGGGACAACATTAAACACAACAACATTCACATTATAGGGGTCCCCGAAGGAGAAGAGAGAAAGGACCAAAGAAAATATTTGAAGGGATTATAGTCGATAACTTCCCTAACCTGGGAAAGGAAATAGCCACCCAAGTCCAGGAAGCGCAGAGAGTCCCAGGCAGGATAAACCCAAGCAGAAACATGCCGAGACACACAGTAATCAAACTGACAAAAATAAAAGACAAAGAAAAATTATTGAAAGCAACAGGGGAAAAATGACAACCCACAAGGGATCTCCCATAAGGTTAACAGCTGATTTCTCAGCAGAAACTCTACAAGCCAGAAGGGAGTGGTATGATATATTTAAAGTGATGAAAGGTAAGAACCTACAACCAATATTACTCTATGTGGCAAGGATCCCATTCAGGTTCAACGGAGAAATCAAAAGCTTTACAGACAAGCAAAAGCTAAGAGAATTCAGCACCACCAAACCAGCTCTACAACAAATGCTAAAGTAACTTCTCTAAATGGGAAACACAAAAGAAGAAAAGAACCTACAAAAACAAACCCAAAACAATTAAGAAAATGGTAATAGGTACATACATATCAATAATTACCTTAAATGTGAATGGATTAAATGCTCCAACCAAAAGACACAGGCTCACTGAATGGATACAAAAACAAAACCCATATATATGCTGTCTACAAGAGACCCACTTCACAACTAGGGACACATACAGACTGAAAGTGAGGGGATGGAAAAAGATATTCCATGCAAATGGAAATCTAAGGAATGCTGGAGTAGCAATACTCATATCAGATAAAATAGACTTTAAAATAAAGAATGTTTCAAGAGACAAGGAAGGACATTACATAATGATCAAGGGATCAATCCAAGAAGAATATATAACAATCATAACATATATACACCCAACATAGGAGCACCTCGATACATAAGGCAACTGCTAACAGCTATAAAAGAGGAAATCGATAGTAACACAATAATAGTGGGAGACTTTAACACCTCACTTACACCAATGGACAGATCATCCAGGCAGAAAATTAATAAGGAAACACAAGCTTTAAATGACACAATAGACCAGATAGATTTAATTGATGCTTACAGGACATTCCATCCAAAAACAGCAGATTACACTTTCTTCTCAAGTGCACATGGAACATTCTCCAGGACAGATCACATCTTGGGTCACAAATCAAGCCTCAGTAAATTTAGGAATACTGAAATCATATCAAGCATCTTTTCCGACCACAACGCTATGAGATTAGAAATCAATTACAGGAAAAAAAACGTAAAAATCACAAACACATGAAGGCTAAACAATACGTTACTAAATAAGCAAGAGATCACTGAAGAAATCAAAGAGGAAATAAAAAATACCTAGAGGCAAATGACAACGAAAATACGACGATCAAAAACCTATGGAATGCAGCAAAAGCAGTTCTAAGAGGGAAGTTTATACCAATACAATCCTATTTTGAGAAAAATCTCAAATAAACAATCTAACCTTACACCTAAAGGAGCTAGAGAGAGAACAAACAAAACCCAAAGTTAGTAGAAGGAAAGAAATCGTAAAGATCAGAGCAGAAATAAATGAAATAGAAACAAAGAAAACAATAGCAAAGATCAATAAAACCAAAAGTTGGTTCTTTGAGAAGATAAACAAAATTGATAAACCATTAGCCAGACTCATCAAGAAAAAGAGGGAGAGGACTCAAATCAATAAAATTAGAAACGAAAAAGGAGAAGTTACAGCAGACATGCAAAAATACAAAGCATCCTAAGAGACTACTACAAGCAACTGTATACCAATAAAATGGACAACCTGGAAGAAATGGACAAATTCTTAGAAAGGTATAACCTTCCAAGACTTAACCAGGAAGAAACAGAAAAGATGAACAGACCAATCACAAGTAATGAAATTGAAACTGTGATTAAAAATCTTCAAACAAACAAAAGTCCAGGACCAGATGGCTTCACAGGTGAATTCTATCAAACATTTAGAGAAGGGCTAACACCCATCCTTCTCAAACTCTTCCAAAAACTGAAGAGGAAGGGAAACTCCCAAACTCATTCCATGAGGCCACCATCACCCTGACACCAAAACCAGACAAAGATACTACAAAAAAAGAAAATTACAGACCAATATCACTGATGAATATAGATGCAAAAATCTTCAATGAAATACTAGCAAACAGAATCCAACAGCACATTAAAAGGATCAGACTATACTGCAAAGCTACAGTAATCAAGACAATATGGTACTGGCACAAAAACAGAAATATAGATCAATGGAACAGGAGAGAAAGCCCGGAGATAAACCCATGCACCTATGGTCAACTAATCTATGACAAAGGAGGCAAGGATATACAATGGAGAAAAGACAGCCTCTCCAGTAAGTGGTGCTGGGAAAACTGGACAGCTACATGTAAAGAATGAAATTAGAACACTCCCTAACACCATATACAAAAATAAACTCAAAATGGATTAAAGACCTAAATGTAAGACCAGACACTATAAAACTCTTAGAGGAAAACATAGGAAGAACACTCTTTGACATAAATCACAGCAAGATCTTTTTTTGACCCACCTCCTAGAGTAATGGGAATAAAAACAAAAATAAAAAAATGGGACCTAATGAAACTTCAAAGCTTTTGCACAGCAAAGGAAACTACATACAAGACGAAAGGACAACCCTCAGATGGGAGAAAATATTTGCAAATGAATCAACAGACAAAGGATTGATGTCCAAAATATATACACAGCTCATGCAGCTCCATATTAAAAAAACAAGCCACCCAATCAAAAAATGGGCAGAAGATCTAAATAGACATCTCTCTAAAGAAGAAATAC